GGCACCGACGTCTGCCTGGACCTGCTCGGGGCAGCCGCGGGCCTCTGGGCCAAGGCCCCCAACCCGGGCCGCCGGCCCCCCGCGCCCACGGCCAGCCTCCGGGGGGACGCTGCTCTGGGCACCCCGGGGGGCCCCGAGGCCTTCTATGCGGGCGGCCGAGGGGGGCCGACCATGCCGGTGCCGGACGCGGACCCCACCAGCCCCTACGGCGCCTCGGGCAACGGAGGCTTCACCTTCGGTGGGGACGGTCCAGGGGCCCCCGCGGGGCCACCCGCCCCCGAGGACTGCGACTTCGGCTTCGACTTCCTGGCGCTGGACCTGACCGTACCCACCGCGGCCACCATCTGGGCGCCCTTTGAGCGGGCCCCGCCCCTGCCCGCCTTCAGTGGCTGCGCCGCCGTCAACGGGGCCCCCGCGCCACCCGCCGCGGGCGCCCGGCGCAGCAGCGGGGCTGGCACACCACGACACTCGCCCACGCTGCCCGAGCCCGGCGGCCTGAGCCTGGAGCTCCCGCTGGCCCGCCGCGCTGCGCCCGACCCGGTGGGCGCCCTGCCCTGGCGGCCCCCGCAGGGCTCCCTGGCATCCTTCTCGAGCAGCGCCAGCTTCTCCACGGCCACCTCGCTGCCCGGCAGCTCCTCGGCCTCCTCGTGCTCTGCGCTGGACTCGAGCGCCTCGGAGAGTGGCCGCAAGCCCCAGGCGGCCCCGGTCCCCAACGCCCCCGCCTCCGCGGCTCTGGCGCGGGAGTGCGTTGTGTGTGCAGAGGGTGAGGTGATGGCCGCGCTGGTGCCCTGCGGCCACAACCTCTTCTGCATGGACTGCGCCGTCCGCATCTGCGGCAAGAGCGAGCCCGAGTGCCCAGCCTGCCGCACACCTGCCACCCAGGCCATTCATATCTTTTCCTAGCCGGTCACCTCGCCGCGCCCGCGGCCCTCAGGGCCCGTCCACGGACGCGGGGTGGGTGCTCAGGGCCGGGTGGGGAGGAAGGGGAGGGTGTGGGCGGGGTGAGCGGCGGGCTGGCCAGTGTTTACAGACGAGCTTTAACTCCAGTCCCAAGCGTGGAGACGGCGACCCGGTGGCCCAGCGACACCTCAGTTCTTAACAAATGACAGTATTGAGTCGACAGGTTAAAATAAACCAGAGAGAAAAGGCCTGCTTGCACTTTTTATTTAAGACACCCCCCCCTCCCCAGGGTGATCTTTTTAAGGAAAAAAAAAAACAACACGATTTTTACAACTCTCCCGGTTGTCCTTTTGTACGTAGCTGATACCGATTTGACAGTGTTTGTTTTCCCACGGCCTCAACCTCTGCAGAAACTTCCAGAAGGACGGCTCCCTTTTTGGGGCCAACTGGTTACCCTTTAGTATGTAAGCCGCGCGCAGGCTGGAGGGGGGCGGGGGGAGGGGGCGTCCAGAACTTACTTTTTTTTTTTTTAATTATTAATCCTTTTTCTGCTGTGGTTTCTGTTGACCGTTTTTTAATTTTTTTGTTTTTTTAAACTTTTACTTTTTACCTCTTGTGTATATGTAGGGAATTTATAGGGAAATATGTACTTTATGGAATAAATTTTAAGAAAACTAAAATATATTTTATTTTAAATAAAGTAACGGACCTTTAATCTTACACAGCTAAATTACTGATTATATATTTGCTGAGCTGACCTAAGGGTTCAGAAAATTGTATCAAGAGTTTTATTTTTTGACTTCAAAGCCTTCTTAATAAAGTCTTTTTACTACACGTGAGCCCTTGGCCTGGTGTGGGGTTGGTGGGCATGGGGGAGGGGTGGGGGGAGGGCTCAGATCCAGCCCCTCCCCCCCTAGTCTTCCAGATACAAGAGTTAGAGTTCAGGATACCCCAATTCCAGGCTTTTCCACAAGCCAGGTGCTGTCGGCATCGGGGCTACACCGAAAGGTGGTCCAGCCAGGTCCCCTTTTCCCGAGGCTCAGGACCTGACATCCCAGGGGACAACCAGCCATGGGGACGGCTATGACCCATGTGGAGGGGATGGTGCCAGGTGGTTACTTCCTAGGGCATCGGCCTGCCTCCGTGGTGTGTGTGGGACCCCCATCTCCAGTAGGACGGGGTCCACCTGACATTGTACAGACAGGGAAACTGAGGTCTGCAAACCTTCCTCCCAGGATGACTCCTAACACCTACCAGTCCCCAAAGAACATCTGAGCGATGAGCCACAGGTGGTATCCCCCTGTCACCTAGTTGGGAGCAGAGGACCATGGCCCGTGGGGCTGCTGGACACATTTCTTCAGGACTGGGATTGGCCTGGAGTCGAGGACTGGGGGACCATGGGTTGGACCGTGGTCAGCTGGCAGTTGCCACAAAAGTTCCAAAGGCGGGGAAGGAAGCGCTGGAGTGTGTGGAGGATGGGGTGTGGTGACAGGGAGGGGCCCAGGACTGCTCCAGGGACAAACCCAGGGGCCAGGTGACCACAGGCTGCTGGCTTGAGGAATGGGCAATGAGGGGTCTGGGGAACACAGCCCGCTAGGAAAGCTAGGAAGGCATAGCAGAGCAGCCTGGAGGGCTTCCAGGAGGAGGCCAGGGGCTTGGGATGACAGGAGCGTCTGATGGGGCAACAGGGATGGAGAGGAAGTAGCCAGAGATGGACAGGGCACCCCACGAGCGAGTGACGGCCACATCAGATCCTCCAACTGAGAGTAGTAGCCCCAGGCTGCAGGGCCGCAGGTGGGTCTCAGGAAGGGCCACATACATGCATGGTTCCAACCTAGCCCTGCTGGAATTTCCCCATCTGTAAAATGGGCATACACCTGGGACTTCCCTGGCGGGCCAGTGGTTAGGACTCCACGCTTCCACTGCAGGGGGACGGGTTTGATCCCTGGTCGGGGAACTAAGATCCCACATGCCGCACAGCGTGGCTCAAAAGCAACAAAAAAATGGGGATACACCTAGGTACAAGCAACCAGCTCTGATGAGGCTCAGGGGGTGGAGTGCATTGATTCGTGGCCCCCAAAAGATACACCCCTGGAACCTGTGGATGGGAGCTTACAAAAGGGTATTTGCAGGGACTTCCCTGGAGGCGCAGTGGTTAAGAATCCTCCTGCCAATGTAGGGGACACGGGTTCGACCCCTGGTCTGGGAAGATCCCACGTGCCACGTAGCAACTAAGCCCGCGTGCCACAGCTACTGAGCCTGTGCTCTAGAGCCTGTGAGCCACAACTACTGAAGCCCATGTGCCTAGAGCCCGTGCTCAGCAACAAGAGAAGCCACCGCAATGAGAAGCCCGCGCACCGCAACGAAGAGCAGCTCCCACTCGCCGCAACTAGAGAAAGCCCGCGCACAGCAACGAAGACCCAACGCAGCCAAAATAAATAAATAAAAATTTTTAAAAAGGGTCTTTGCAGATGTAATTAAGAATCTTGAGATGAGATCATCCTGAATTAGGTTGGCCCTAAATCTAATGTCCTTATAAGAGACGGAGGAGGAGACTCAGACACAGAGGGTGAAGCTGTGTGAAGACGGAGGCAGAGGCTAGGGTGATGCAGCCTCAAGCCCAGGGATGCCTGGGGCCACCACAAGCTGGAAGAGGTCAGAAGAATCCACCCCCCCCCCCGCCCCCGCCCGGCCCCCGCCCTCCCCGCCTGCCCCGCAGCCTTCAGAGGAATCGCGACCCTGCCACACCTTGGTCTCCGACTTCTGGTCTCCAGAACGTGGAGAACAAATACCTATTACTTTGTGGTAATTTGTTACAGAGCTTCAAGGAACCAGTATGGGTGGGTGGGTGGGCGATGCTTAACCCGGGGCCGGCCCACACTTCAGTGGCAGAGTAGTGGTGGCGCCAGTGGCCCCAGCTGACCTGGAGCGAAGTCAGGCCATAGAGGGTTACGGAGGCAGCAGGGACTTGAGGCATGGAGACCACCCCCCTGCAGTTTGGCCCCAAGAGCAAGAGGAAGAGCTGTGGCCGACCCCCACCCCGGCCAAGGGGTCTATGGTGGTGGGCGTGCGTCCTCGGGAGGGAGGTGGGACCGGGAGCCTGAGCGAGGGTCCCGACAGGGGTGGGCAGAAGGGGTGTTGGCCTGGTGTCTGTAAGGAATTGAGGGGTCTCTGGGGAGCTGCAGGGAGTGGGCTTGTCAGTTTGCTGCTGAAATAAGAGGAGAGAAGGGCCCCAAAGGGCCCAGGTGCCCGGGAGCTCGGCAGGGGATCGTGGAGATTGGGTGGCTGAAGGACCCACCAGGGGAGGGTGAGGCCCAGGGCCGAAGCCCAAATCCAGACCAGCCAAAGCCAGCCCCCTGGAGGGGTTTCTGAAGACGCAATGGTTAACCGGGTGGTCCCCCAACCATGGGCAGGGCTGTCACCTATGCTGGTCTGAGGAAGTGCTGTCCCAGGACTTTCCAGAAACACCTGAGGAGACTGCTTACTGCTGGGTACAGGGTTGTGAATATTGTAAGTGTGAGGCCAGAGACACTGCAGCCCTCGGGGAGAGAGAGGGCCAGGCCAGGGTGAATTCCCTACCTTGCCGTGAGAGGCCCTGGATGCAGCCCTGCCTGAAGGTCATGGGTCCCAACCTCTCAGTTATAGGCACCAATAAGCTCTTCTTCTTTGTTTCAGCCACTGTGAGTTGGAATAACTGAAACTCACAAAAACCCAGAGGGACCGCATTCTCAGTCAGGGAGCTGGAAAGCATTTCCGGGGGCGTGGGGAGGGGAAGTCCTGAGGGCAAGCTCTCGTCCCCCTTGGCAATTGGCTCTCGGTTCTCAGGTGCAGCACATCAGGGTGACCCTGGTCCAGTGTCTTGTCCCGGCATGACATGGGTCGCCATCTTCCCAGCCTCCAACACCTGTGTCCTCACTGCCCAGCAGTTGAGCGAATGTTCCATATTTTAGACTTTTGGCCATGGCAGAACCCCACTCTAGTAAGAATTTCTGTGTTGGTGAAAATCTGGTCTGTCTCTGCCACAGGAGCAGTGGGCTCAGATCATGGTGCCCCCTTGGCAAAGCTCCTCAAACTCCCCCAAAGAGAGGCCAACGGCAGGCTGCAGAGTCAAGTTTACTTTAATGATAAAAGAACAATTCCAAACACAAGTCTGGGTTGAACAGTCATGCCACGAGGCCAGGACCCCCACCTCCTATACCCCCTGCATGCTCCCCCAGCTGTCCCCAAGGACGTCCCCTCTGGGGGAGCAAAAGGGACAGAAAGGGAGCTTGGGTCCTAGGCATCAACATGCAGAGGTCCACCTTGACCCTCAGGGAAGCTAGATGCTCTGAAGCATGTGGATCGCATGCTGAAGGTGCTGGCGGGCAGCCGGAGCACAGCCGTGGCTCCGCAGGACGCCCAGCGGGTAGGAGGTGCCAGGCTGGCCCTGCTCCCAGACCGTGAGCCGCAGCTCTTCACACCCACCACTCAGCACGAGTTGAGCCTGGTCTCCACTGCAGCTGACCTACCAAGGCGGGAGGAGCTGGGTCCGAGGGGAGAAGGGGCCCTGGCCCTCGGAGGACAAGTGGATAGGAGACTGAGGTCCCCCTGATCTGAGTCTCAGTGGCTGCCCCACCCATAGGAACTCAGGGTCAGGAGCCCAGGGCTCTACCACACAGACAGGGAAACTGAGGCTCAGATGGGACTCCTCCACCCAGAGCCGCCCAGTGAGACCTCCTACTCTTAAGCCTGTGCCCTGGGGAACAGCAGCTCCTCATGGGTACCAGCTTCCACAGCTGCTGGGCAGGGCCATTTGAAGACAATCCTCTAAGACCCGGCCCAGGCCAGGGTACTCTGGTCTGAACGGAGAGGGGATTTTTACTATAAAATAAAATCATACTAATTTTTAAAAATAATAAGTATTGTATACTAGTGCGTTTGAAATCTGTTTTAGGAGTGGCTATGATGTCCCAGGGATTGCCAGGACTGCGCAGGAAAACCTAAAAATGATTCTGCAACAAAATGACATTTCGACAGCTGCTACAGGTAACCACACAGGACGATGACCCTGAGTGACATTTTGCTGTCATTCAGACACATTTTATTTCCGATTTTCTTGGGCTCCCCCCAGAAGTGTGCAATGTAACAGCCCTGTTTGCGGGGGGGACCCTCACTCACCTGCACCGTCCCATCACTGAACAGCAGGAGTGCGGCCCGCTCGGACACCAGGAAGCGCAGCAGGCAGAGGCTGGGGGCTGCCGGCCAGGCGGCTGTGGACAGGCCCCCCTCCTGTGGACAGACCCAGCCACAGGGCCTCAGGGCCGAGGGCTCCCACCGCCTGGCACACCCCCCAGCCCCACCCAGCCCTCACCTCTCGCAGCCGCCGCTGCATGTATCGGGCAAAGAGCCGAAGGACAGCCAGCTTGGCACCCAGCAGGGTGGGCACATCCCTCAGGGCGAACGTCTCCAGCCTTCCCCGGTCAGGCATGTAGATGACTTGGCTGATGGGGGTGGGGGGTTGCACAGGGCGGTGCCAGCTGTCAGGACCTCTATCCTGGACACCTCACACCCGAGGACACCTTCTCACGCAGCCGTGTCTCTTGGACCATGATGTGAAACCAGCTCTGCACGGACCAGCCCTCTCTGTTCATCCAGCCCCGGCCCCTCCCCTGAACTCCAGACCCTTGGAGCCACAGACTCAGCCTGTCCACGCTGAGATCCTGACAGGCCGCCACAACTACTGAGCCTGCACTCTAGATCCCGCGAGCCACAACTACTGAGCCTGTGCGCTACAGCTACTGAAGCCCACCTGCCTAGAGCCTGTGCTCCGCAACAAGAGAAGCCACAACCATGAAAAGCCCGTGCATCGCAACAAAGAGTAGCCCCCGCTCGCCGCAACTAGAGAAAGCCCGCGCGCAGCAACGAAGACCCAACACAGCCAAAAATAAATTAATTAATTTAATTAATTTTTTTTAAAAAAAGTGTGAGTCTGACCCCTCCTTCCCGCCCCAACCCCAACAGTGGCCTGTGAGGCTCTGTGACTTCATGTCCTTCCCCTCTCCCTGCCATTCCTCAAACCCACCATGCTCAGTCCCATCTCGGGGGCTTTGCACATGCTGTTCCCTAGGCCTCAGATGCTGTTCCTGACAGACTCTTTCTCATCATTTCTGTCTCGCCTGAGCGTCACTTCTTCAGAAAGCGCCTGCTTCCACAACCACTCTGTTGAGAGTCGTCTCCACTTCCCCAATCTGTCACCTCACCTGTTTCGTTTCCTTCGAAAACTGCCACCTGAAATCAACTTAGTAATTCATTTGTTTAGCATTGTTCTCCCCGACCAGGCAGTAAGCGCCTGTAGGTGTGCACAGTAGATGTGTAATAAATCTGTGAGGAGTGAATGAAGAAAGGCAGGGAGGAGGGCCTGGCCTCCCAGGGGGAAAGGAACTCCACAACTTACCCCTCTGCGGGACGCAGGGCCATGTGGGTGCCATCCCGAAGCAGGACACCACTGCCCCCGTCTGACAATTGGTAGCCAAAGCCGTACTTGCTGGAATAATCCACCCACTTGGGGGCCCAGAGGATGGGCCGCTGCTCTCCTGGGGGGTCCTGCGTGGCTGGCACAGGATGAAATGAAGTGAGCAGGGGTCCTGGAAGGGGCGGGCGGAAGGACGGCAGAGGCACAGGAGATGGAGAGTAAAGTCCAGGGAATAGAACACCAACTCTTGGGACTTCCCTGGCGGTCCAGTGGGTAAGACTCCGTGCTTCCGCTGCAAGGGGCACGGGCTCGATCCGTGGATGGGGAACTAAGATCTCACATGCGGCCAAAAAAAAAAAAAAACAAAAACAACCAACTCTTGCCTTGATGGGGGAGGACTGGGGGACCCTGGGATCACAGCTGCCTCTGCCTCTGGAAATGAGTAAATCTGAAATGCTTGTAAGGTCCAAAATACCGTAGGGCTTTGCTTTCTTTCATTAAACATTTTTTGTATTAAAAAATAAAAATTGCTCAAGGCCATGTGGGATCCTAGATTGGATTGCAGAAGAGAAAAAGGGCAATCATGGAAACCCTGGGAAACCCCAGTGGCCCAGGAAGCTGGGCCACAGGAGAAGCTGGAAGTCTGTAATACAGTCGCCAGCTATCTGTGCTGCTCCTACCTGGGGCGCCAGAGTCCAGGCAAAGCTGCAGGCTCCTGATGGCTGCCTCTACTTCCTGCCTCGGGCTCCCCTGGGGCCCTGGGGAGACAGATCTCTGTGGGGGACAGACAGGCCAGGGCCCCTCCAACCAGCCCCGCCCCAAACTCCCACATCCGGGAAAGTCCTATTTTCACCCCAGAAGGATTCCAGACATCATTGTCATTTTACAGGTGGGAAAATTGAGGCCGGGAGAGGGGACGTGGTCCTGGCAAGGCAGGATCTTTGCCCCCCACTTCTCGACCCTCAGTCCTGCCCACAGCTCCCACCTACGATGGAGAGTCTGCTCACCCGCCGGGTCACTCCCGAGGGTCCCCTGGCTGAGCAGGTGGACAGGGCGCTCAGGGCACGGAGCCCCTCCCTCTGACAGGGAGGCCTGGGGAGGGAGCAGCAGGGGTTGGGGGCTCTGGCCTCCCCCCCTGAAGACCCCCTGGCTTCTCCCTCTGCCCAGCCTCCCTGTGAGGATGCCCTCCACATTCCCCACCATGCCCCCCTCCCCGCGCCCTCACCTCACTACCGCACTCCATGGAGTCAGGGTCAGGGCCGTCTTCTCCTGGACCTGAAGCCTCCTTAGGAGTGAAGGGGCCTGCAGGAGGCACGAGGATTGGGGGGCGGGCAGAGCCTGACCCCATGCAGGGCGAGACCTCTGCCACCGACATCCGCCTCTGCCGTGGTGGTGACATTTCAGAGCAGGTAGGGAGGAGGACAGGCGTGTGAGATGCGGGGCGCAGGTAGGAGCAGGTGAGCGGGCGGGGCGGTACTCACAAGGCCTCCGGCACTGGGGCAGCAGCAGCCGGCCCACCCTCCAGAAGAGCCTGCCCAGAGGCTGGGGGATGGAGAAGATGGGCAGGCTGTGGCAGGAGTGGGGCGGCAGCCGGTCCGGGGTGAAGCCCTTCGGAGTGGAGAGCTGGGCGTTAGCACACCACTCCTGAGTACCTGGGCTAGCTGGGGGTCCTGACCCACACCTGGGTCTGCTGAGACGCCCCAGAGAAGGGCAGCCCCGACCCGCTGACACCCCACACCTGCGTGAAAAAGTCATCCTGCAGCAGGTGGTCCAGGCTGGGCCGCTCGGCCGGGTTGGGTGCCAGCAGGCGGGCAATGAGGCGGCGTGCATTGGAGGACAGATGTGCAGGCTCGGGGTAGCGGCCGTCTCGGATATTCTGGTACATCTCCGACAAGGGTGCCGCCACGAAGGGAGGGGCGCCAGTCAGCACCATGTACCTGGGCCGGGTCGGGGGCAGGAACCTGGGTGCCTGCTTGCCTCTGTCCTGGGCATCCAGGGTTGCCTCACACCTACCTGTGCACACCTGGCCACACCTTCCCACACTTCCTGACTCCGTACCCACGTCACATCCACTTTCTCATAGCTGCCCTACATCTGCTCCCACCTGGCCATTCCTGTCTGCTCAGGAGACACCAGCATCTGTCTGTACACCTGCCTGCTCCTGGGTTATACCTGGACACACCTGCATATACCTTTCCGGGTTTAGTTTATGCATGCTCACACCTCATACCTGTACATATGCCCTCATCTGCCTGTGTATCTGCCACCTGCACACACCTGTCCACACCTCTGTGCACACTCAAAACTATCATCCCGTCATATGCCCTATTCATACCTGCACCCTCAGATGATGGCAGGTGTGTGCTCCCACCTGCCCCCCGAGCTGCACACACTGGTCCTGTGTTTGCTCATACCTGCCTGTGCCCCCACTCAATCTCCCCTGTACATGCCTACACCTGTCCTTACCTGCCGGCGCCCGCTCCCACCTGCCCACACCTGGCCCCAGCTGGGCAGTCCTGCCCCCCTTCCCCAGGCCCGGGGCTTCGGGGGCCACTCACATGACGCAGCCCAGAGCCCAGATGTCCGACTGGCAGGAGTGCCCGTTTCTGGACACGACCTCCGGGGCCAGGAAGTTTGGGGTCCCACAGAGCACTCTGGGGGGGCATAACGGGGCCTCAGGAAGGCTGGGGCCAGAGCCAGCCCACCCTCACCCACCCAGAGAACCCGCTCAGAGCCTCCCGGTCACCTGTGGCAGCGGCCTCCTGGGCCCACCCTGGTGGCCAGCCCCAGGTCTCCGATCTTCACCTCCATGTTCTTGTTCAGGAAGAAGTTACCTGCCGGGGCCCGGGGGCGGAGGGGATGGGAGGGGGAGGAGCACGGCGTGTGGGTGGAATCCCCGCCCTCGCCCCGCCCCCGCCCCGCCCCCGCGGCCCCTTCCGCGTCCTCACTGAGCTTCAGGTCCCGGTGGACGATGCGCCTCTGGTGCAGGTAGCGCAGGCCGCTGACCAGGCCCCGCAGGTAGTAACGCACCTCAGGCTCTGTCAGCGTCTGCCGCGCCTCCAGCACGTGGGCCAGTGACTGCAGGGGACCGGCAGGTGCAGCACCGGCGCCGAGGAGACACAGGTGAGCCCAGGTTAGGCGGTACAGTGAGTTCCAGGGACCCAAGAAGGCAAAGGTAAATTCAGCTCTCAGGTGGATGTGGCTGATTGTGGGACAGGCAGAGGTGAGCTCTGAGCCCCAGGAGGAACGTACGAGTTCAGATGGGCCGAGGGGGCCACAGTGAGCTTTTCGGCAAGAGACGAACCCAAGGTGGGTACGTTCTGGGCAAAGGAGAGCTCAGGTGTATTTAAGTGGGCTCAGGCAGTTCAAGGGGTCTATGAAGGTGCAACTAAGTCCAAGTGGGTTCAGGAACAGGCATTCCTGCCTGTCGGACATCTGGGCTCTGGGCTGCACCGTGTGAGTGGCCCCAAGGGCCCCGGGCCTGGGGAACAGGGGCAGGACTGCCCAGGTGAGGCCAGGTGTGGGCAGGTGGGGCCTGGCTGAGTGCAGGAGGGGCACAGGTGGGCATAGGTGTGCCGAGGTGAGTCAAGAGAGCCTCTGGATGGGCAGGTGGGCACTAGAGCATTAAGGGTGAGCAGAGGTGGGCCTAGTGTGGTCACAGGTAGAAACAGGTAAGGAGAGACAGACATGGGAGGGGGCCACAGATGAGCACAGTGGACTGGGGGGGGCATGGCTCCCTCTAGGCCCCGCCCCCTGGGCACCTGGCGGCTGCAGTATTCCAACACCATGTACACGTGGTCACGGTCAGCAAAGTGTCCGTGGAAGGCCACGATGTTGCGATGTCGCAGGCGGCTGTGCAGGGCGATCTCGCGCTCCACCTGCAGGCGGGGTCCCACGTGTACACACCCGGCAGGTGCCCACACCCGAGGTACCCATGCCCCCACGGGCATGCTCACCACCCCCAGGGCAGGACGTCTCTGCGGACCCGATTTGGTCACAGCGCCCCTGGGCACTGATGCGCAGAGCGTACCTTGTCGCCGGGGCACAGCCGTCCAGCCCCACCACCGCCATAAGGCACCACTTTGAGCGCAAACACGGAGCTGGTGGACATGTCGGTCAGCTTGTAGCAGCGGCTGAAGGCGCCCTGCGGGGCAGACGATTCACGAGCTCAGGGCACACAGGTGTGGGGACAGATGGCCAGACCTCTTCACACGCAGACACGCACACACACACACACACCCCTGAGACGCATGGATGCATAGCTCACATCCTCATACCTGGATACCCAAGGCAACACAACACACAGAAGTACACGAAGGCACAGGGACACATACACTCAGACACACAGACACATCCACACCTGGATATATAGAGCCCACGGACCCTAATACAGTCCCCGGACACACGGTACAACGCCCGAACACAGAAAGCACAGACCTATGACACATTCAGACACATACGCACAGGGACAACACAACAGAGTCTGGGTCCGCACCAAGGCTCCAAGTCGCAGAACACTTGGGCGCACACCCACACCCTAGACACACAACCCACAACACAGCACAACGTGCCCAACACCGGTTCCCGCCACACGATGCACGCAGAACAGCGGGTACATCGCAGACCCGGGCGTCCACCCACGCCAGACCCAAACTCGCGTGGACACGCGACACACGCAGAGACAAAAGCCGGGGCGCACGCTGGCTCGTTTGCGGTCGCGATCGCGCGAACGCGCCCCGCCCCGCCGGGACCCCTGCCCGGCCCGGCCCCCTCGTCAGCGGACTTGGGGTGCCGGGGTCCCCACCTTGCCGATCAGCTTCCCGCGCCTGTACACGCGCCCCGAGCTCGGGTCGCGCAGGAAGACGGAGACCAGCGGGCGGCAACTGCGCCGCCGCCGCCGCCGCCGCGGCTCGGGCTCCATCCCTCCCGGGAGCCTGGCGGGGCGGGCGCACTGGCGCAGCCTCGGCCGGGACCACCGCGCGCGGCGCTGCTCTGGGGGCCGCGCGCTGCCTGGACGCGTCTTATTGGCCGAGGGGGGAGGGGTGGAGTCCAGACGCTCGGGGCGGCCAGCGCGGGAGGGGGCGGGCGCGTGGGGGCGATTGGGCGTGCGGGGACGCGGGGCTGGCGGGAGTTCAGGGACCAGAGCGGCGCTGGCACCCTGCACGCCAGCCCAGCGCCAGTCCCGCGCGCGCTCAGCTCGCTTGCTCCTCCAATCCTGCGCCTCCCGCCAAGCTGTGAACTGTCAACACGCCCATTTCTCTGAGCAGGAGACTGAGGTCAGAGTGATTGTCTCATTCTCTCGAGGCTTTGAGGGGAAGGGTGGGTGGGAGGGAGGGCTTGGCAGGGCTCTCCCCAGACTGCACTTGAGGTCTGAGTCTAGTCGTCCTGAATACGTGTGACTGTGGGTCCTGGCAGGTGGGTCCCCGGACCCCATATGACAATGCACGAGACTTGATTATCTTGGCACTGGGGAGCCACAGCAGGATTCAGGGAGGTGGGGAGGGGCGTGAAGCCCAAAGGGGCACTGCTGGGGTTGGGAGGCTGGCATATATGATGGACACTCAGTGGAGAGAAGGAGCAGGATTTGGGTACTGATGGACAGACACTGGGGGTTGTGACTCCTGGCTTGGGCAGCCAAAGAGAGGCAGGGGGATGGAGAACAAGTGGGCAGGCTTGGGCCCCCCGGGAACCATGGGAGCATCTCTGAGCTGTTCCCCAGACTCAGTTCCCAGCTCTTTCCCTGCATTGTCTCAAGTCACCCTTTCACCAATTCTGAGATGCAGGAACTGGCCTTGTCCCCATTTTACAGATGAACACACTGAGGCCCAGGGAGGTTAAGTCGCTTACCCAGCCAGGAAGGGACAGTGCTGGACGTGAATCCAGGCAGCTGCCTCTGGATGCCTCGGTATTAATCCCCAAAAGTTACATAACACAATGAATGGGGAGGGGTTAGCAGGGCTCCGTGGGGCTGGAATCAGGCCTCGGAATTTTCCAGAGACCAGATTTCGGAGTTCGGCCCAGCCAAGCCACCAGGGATAGGAAACACCTTCTGCGTTGTCACATGTCTGCCTGGCATGTCAAATGGGGGCACCCAGGGCATGGGGGACTCTGCGGGGGCCCCAGTGCATTGGATGGAGCCATCCTCTGGTACCTTTGCGGGGGGCCGGCCTCAGCTCCAGGGCCAAGGATTCCATCCAGGCCAGTGCAGGGGGCCAGCTGGCTGCGGCCGGGGGAGCCCGAGTCCTCTGCTAATGAGAACCAGGTGCGGTGTGACAGAAGGCAGGCAGCTGGGGGGCCCGGGGGTCTGAGCTGTCACATCATTGTCACCCTGGAATCCACATTGGCAGGCAGGAATCCAGGTTCTTCTCAGTGGCACGCCTCTGCTGCCTGCGAATTCAGGTATTTGTTCAGCACAGTCTTGTGCCCAAGACAGACCCACCCGGCCCTCAGGAAACGGTGGAGAGGAGATCACCCAGAATTAACCAAAGCCGGGGGTCTGGGCGGGTTCTGGAGGCCAACGTCAGAAAGCCAGACCCCTTCCAGGAAGTGGCTTATCCCAGAGGTCGGTGCTCTTCTTAGCCCCACGTTATAGATGAGGAAACTGAGGCTCAGGAAGGGACATGCAAGCCAGAGTCACCAGACTGTGGCCGAACCTGGCCTGCAGTGCAGGTTGGTGCGTCTGGAGCCCCTGCCCCCCCGATACTGCCCCCCAGGCCTCTCCTCCAGGGGCTACGGGAGCATAGGAAGAGCCCTCACGCTGCAGTAGGCAGCTGAGCCCACTGGACCCCCAGAAGCCTCCTGGGGGAAAGAAATCCAAAGCTCCTGGCCCAGTGCCTCACAGCAGGGCTGTCAGCTGACACCCTCTGCAGACACCAGCTCTGCCCCCATCTCCCGGCAGCCCACTGTTTTCCTGGCTGAACCTCCTCCACGGGGCTGGGGAGCCATCCCATTGCCAGCCTGCACCCCCTCGAGCAGGGATGCCCTCCCCCAGCACTCTAGAATGGAAAACTTTATAATAAAAGGAAAACCTTAGATGTTCATAGCAGCTTTCTTCACAACAGCCAAAAGGTGGAAACAGTCCGGGTGTCCATCGACTGATGAGGGATAAACAAAACGTGCTCCACCCATACAGTGGAATATTATTCAGCCTTAAAAAGGAAGGAGGTTCCGACACTTGATACAATGTGGATGGACCTTGAGGACATCATGCCCAGTGAAATAAGCCAGACACAGAAGGACACACTGTGTGTCATTCCACTCACAGAAGGTCCTAGAGGAGTGACATCCAGAGAGACAGGAAGTAGATGGTGGGGGCCAGGGGCTGGGGGAGGGGTGGGGAGTCAGTGTTTCATGGGGACAGAGCTTCAGTTTGGGAAGATGAGAAAGTTCTGGAGATGATGGTGCGGATGGTTGCACAACAATGTGAATGTGCTTAATGCCACCGAGCTGTGCGCTTAAAAATGGTTAAGATGGTGAATTTTGTGTGACTGTATATTTTGCCACAATCAGAAAGTGAAAACCGTTTTAGCTTCCCCACCCCCCTAAAAACCACAGGCCTAGGGAGCTAATACCCCCATTTTACAGATGAGCAAACTGAAGCCTAGTGTGTGTAGCAAGCACAGGATCGCAGTTTTGCAAAGGGGCAGGCGTTGAGGGGGGAACTCAGGGGGGCTGCCTGACCCTCCCTGCTGACCCCTGCCCAGGGCTCAGGAGGCCGGGGTGGTCGTGGGCTGGAGCCCCAGCCTGGCCGCGCGGTCCCCTGAGCCCCCGTGCTCCAGGCCAGAGGCTTGATTTGTCTCCAGTCTGTTCTTTCCCTGACCTGAGATAACTCCCCAGA